TCCAGAGCTCCACCTGCTGCTGTGATCCACACAGATTACATTAATCCGATCCGGTAGCAGTTACCAAACAGCACACTGGTTTCTGGTTATTATTTTAACTGGTTCTAAGTTTTCTAAGTGTTGAAAGGAGGTCAGAAGTTATGACAGAAACATGTAAACTAATAATCAGTTCCTTTAAATCAAGACTAAAACTCCATTTGTCTTTGACTCATAACTGTAAAAATGATATTTCTGTTTGTTCTTTGCTTCAATTTTATCCAGAAACTTCAGATCAAACACCAGTTACATCCAAACAGGTTTAAAGTATCAATGATCAAACAGGGAAACTGAATTTGATTTTTAATGGAATCAGTTTTTATTTAAAAAGAATCCTGTAAGAATAAACCCAGGATTATTCTTATTCTGCTCTACTGATGAAAAATCTGGATAGTTTGGTGAAAGTCTTTCTCAGCAGCACCATGTGAATCAGGTTGGAGCCGAGAGGCTGCAGCTCAATGTCTCTGTGCTTTGTGCCGAGTTCCCCGGCTGACGAAATGAAATATTTCACAGCATTGTCTGATACAGATCTCCTATAATGAAATGTTCAGGGTCACCGGGGTCACCGGGGTCACTGTCGCGACCCATCAGTATTTAACACCAAACGGAGCCGAAGAACATCTGTCCTACACAGAAGAACCGGCTGGACGCTACCATCAACACCACATCAGCAGTGAGGTCAGCAGTGAGGTCAGCAGTGAGGTCAGCAGTGAGGTCAGCAGTGAGGTCAGCAGTTAGGTCAACCCGGCTCCAGCCGTACACAGAGAGAGGAAGAGGAGGAGATGGGAGGAAGAGTGTGCAGGGAGGAGGTGAAGGAGGAGAAAAGGCGAAGCCCGGGCAGAGAGGACAGCCTGACGTCTGCCGACAAAATCAGAAGATTCACCAAGCAGTCTGGACACAACGTCCTGAGCCTGGCCCGCCGTGGACTCAAGGTACAGCAGCGCCCCCTCCTGGAGGGAGGCAGCGCCGGCGCTACCTGGGCTGAAGGTGGAGTAGGCGTTATTGAAATAAAAGCGGTGCATGTTGCTGCTCCGCCAGGACGCTCCGGGGGAGCTGTGGGAGCTGCTGGAGCTGGAGAAGCTGAACCTGTCCCTCAACAACCTGAAGGCGCTGCCGCCTCAGCTGGCCCTGCTGTCCAACCTGCTGGTCCTCAACCTGTGGGGGAACCAGGTGAGCCCCGTCACAGCCCTCCTCCTGCAGCATGCTTCGGTCAGAACCGGACCTGACGCCGTGCCGTCTGCAGCTCGGCAGCCTGCCGGCAGAGATCGGCCAGCTGAGGAGACTCCGGGTTCTGTTCGTCTACAGAAACAGACTGACGGAGGTTCCTGAGGAGCTGGGGGCCTGCACACAGCTGGAGGTACGCTTCCCTCGCTACGCCTCGTCTCAGGTCTGCAGCTCTGCAGCGCCCCCTGCAGAGCTTGTCCTCTGTTCACTTCTGTCGCCGCTTCAGGTCCTGAGTCTGGCCAACAACCAGCTCTCCTCTCTGCCGGCTTCTCTCTCCAACCTGACCAGACTGAGGAAGCTCAACCTCAGCCACAACCTCATGGCTCAGCTGCCAGGCTGCATCTACAGCATGAAGGCCCTGGTAGGTCTCCACCAGCCAGAGAGCAGACCAAGCAGCCTGCAGGTGACCCGCTGTCCCCCTGTCCTCCTGCAGGTCTTCCTGGATCTGTCCTGCAACCGTCTGGAGAACGTGGCAGAGAACATCCAGGCTCTGCTGGAGCTCAAGATCCTCATCATGGAGAGAAACCAGCTCCAGTCTCTGCCCAGAGGCCTCTGCTTCCTCACCAGGTAACTCCACCTGAGCGCTTGGTGCCACAGGACATTCAGCTTTGCAGAACTTCTCCACCTGATGGCGCTGTCCTGATGTCCTTCAGGCTGGAGCTGCTCAACCTGGACTTTAACCACATCAGAGACCTTCCTGAGGTGAGCAGCAACCCACACTGATGAGGATGATGCTGGTAATAATGATGAAGATAAAGGTGATACTACTACTACTACTAATAATAATCATGTTGGGAACCAGGTTTTGGATCTTTGTGGGTATTCTCTGCTGCTTGCCGTTTCCCTCTCCATCCACTAGATGGTGCTGAATGGCTGCTCTACCTGGTGGGCTGTGCAGAGTCAGTCACTGCTCATCTATCATCTCATCGTCTCAGAGTGTATGAGGAGCAGATGTTTCCCAGAAATGCTGCTCTGCTCCCCTCTGAGCTTACGTTCTAGTTTCCTGAGGTCACCTTTAGCAACATTGTCCTTCAGGTGTTTCCTTGTGACGCCTTGGATTTATCCACTGAGTAGTTTGAGATCCTGGCCTTTTTTCCCCTGGTGACACTGTGGACTGTTAGAGTCTCTTTCCAAAACACAGAAGAACCAGTTCCTAGATTTTCAGCTGGCAGTCAGAGCATTCCTCAGTCTCCTCATCTGAAACTTACCTGTCCGCCCTCCACCTCAGCCTAGCCTCCACCTCAGCCTCCACCTCAGCCTCCACCTCAGCCTAGCCTCCACCTCAGCCTCACCGCAGCCTCCACCTCAGCCTCACCGCAGCCTCCACCTCAGCCTAGCCTCCACCTCAGCCTCACCGCAGCCTCCACCTCAGCCTAGCCTCCACCTCAGCCTAGCCTCCACCTCAGCCTAGCCTCCACCTCAGCCTCACCGCAGCCTCCACCTCAGCCTAGCCTCCACCTCAGCCTAGCCTCCACCTCAGCCTAGCCTCCACCTCAGCCTCACCGCAGCCTCCACCTCAGCCTAGCCTCCACCTCAGCCTCCACCTCAGCCTAGCCTCCACCTCAGCCTCACCGCAGCCTCCACCTCAGCCTAGCCTCCACCTCAGCCTCCACCTCAGCCTAGCCTCCACCTCAGCCTCACCGCAGCCTCCACCTCAGCCTAGCCTCCACCTCAGCCTCCACCTCAGCCTAGCCTCCACCTCAGCCTAGCCTCCACCTCAGCCTCACCTCAGCCTCCACCTCAGCCAAGCCTCCACCTCAGCCTCCACCGCAGCCTCCACCTCAGCCTCCACCTCAGCCTCCACCTCAGCCTCACCGCAGCCTCCACCTCAGCCTCCACCGCAGCCTCCACCGCAGCCTCCACCTCAGCCTAGCCTCCACCTCAGCCTCCACCTCAGCCTCCACCTCAGCCTCACCTCAGCCTCCACCTCAGCCTCCACCGCAGCCTCCACCGCAGCCTCACCTCAGCCTCCACCTCAGCCTAGCCTCCACCGCAGCCTCCACCTCAGCCTAGCCTCCACCTCAGCCTCACCGCAGCCTCCACCTCAGCCTAGCCTCCACCTCAGCCTCCACCTCAGCCTCCACCTCAGCCTCCACCTCAGCCTCCACCTCAGCCTCACCTCAGCCTCCACCTCAGCCTAGCCTCCACCTCAGCCTCCACCTCAGCCTAGCCTCCACCTCAGCCTCACCGCAGCCTCCACCTCAGCCTCCACCTCAGCCTCCACCGCAGCCTCCACCGCAGCCTCCACCGCAGCCTCCACCGCAGCCTCACCTCAGCCTCCACCTCAGCCTCCACCGCAGCCTCCACCTCAGCCTCCACCTCAGCCTCCACCTCAGCCTAGCCTCCACCGCAGCCTCCACCTCAGCCTCCACCTCAGCCTCCCTCCACCTCAGCCTCCACCTCAGCCTAGCCTCCACCTCAGCCTCCACCTCAGCCTCCACCGCAGCCTCCACCGCAGCCTCCACCTCAGCCTAGCCTCCACCTCAGCCTCCACCTGCCTTCTACGAACTCTCCGTCTGAATCTGGACCCCTGCAAAGAGTCCATAGCCTCTCCACCCCCGAGACGTCGCCGGAGACCGCAGTACTACCCCCCCGACGGAATCTCATCATCTTCAAGTAAGGTCACTTCAAGGAAGATCTCTTTTGTCCTACACACCTTGAACTCACCATGTTTCCCTCACCATCCTCAGAGTCCAGACGACCCGGTCGGCTCCCACCCACAGGAAGAGACGCAGAATAACATTGTTTAAATGAACGTTATTATCTGGTGGCTGTTCTGCATGTGGTTAAAAGAGCACAACATGAAAAATAACAATACTACTACTACTGATAAATATAAAAATGAGTGATGATCATCATTTATTACCAATAATGACAATATTAATGATGTTGGCCGTGTGTCCAGGAGATGCACCATCTGTCCCGGCTGGAGAAGCTGGCCTGCCATCCTCTGGACAAAGGTCTCCACATCGTCCACAACCCGCTGATGAAGCCCTCAGGGAGGTGATGCAGGGAGGACTGGGGCGCTCTTCAATTACCTGAGGTCAGGTGGTGAATAGGGGGCGGAGCCTCTGAACCCTGGGGGCGGGGCCTCTGAACCATGTGGGCGGAGCCTCTGAACCCTGTGGGCGGAGCCTCTGAACCCTGTGGGCGGGGCCTCTGAACCCTGGGGCGGAGCCTCTGAACCCTGTGGGCGGAGCCTCTGAACCCTGGGGGCGGAGCCTCTGAACCCTGTGGGCGGAGCCTCTGAACCCTGTGGGCGGAGCCTCTGAACCCTGTGGGCGGGGCCTCTGAACCCTGGGGGCGGAGCCTCTGAACCTGGGGGCGGAGCCTCTGAACCCTGTGGGCGGAGCCTCTGAACCCTGGGGCGGAGCCTCTGAACCCTGGGGGCGGAGCCTCTGAACCCTGCGGGCGGAGCCTCTGAACCCTGTGGGCGGAGCCTCTGAACCCTGTGGGCGGAGCCTTTGAACCCTGGGGGCGGAGCCTCTGAACCCTGGGGGCGGAGCCTCTGAACCCTGTGGGCGGAGCCTCTGGACCCTGTGGGCGGAGCCTCTGAACCCTGTGGGCGGAGTCAGTTCCCTCTTGAGGATGGCAGCAGAGCTTTCTGAAATCATGGTGAAGAATTTTGGAGGAACCAGAACTTCAGACCTACTTTGGTCCTGCAGGCAGTTTTCACCCACCTGAGGGACAGGTGAAGTGGGCGAACTTCTACATTTCATTATGGGATGTATGGAAAACAGCAGCCATCTTGTTGGTGCTCTTGCTGATGTTCTTCACTTTGGAAACACCACAAAGCAAACAGAACCGTCTCAGAACCTCTGGGCCTCTGGGCTGTCACTGTTATTTCTATTGTTCCTGTTATTGATACAGTTATTGATACAGTTATTGATACAGTTATTGATACTGTCCATGCAGAGGGTCTGCGCTGGAGGCCAGGAAGCATGAAATGAACTCAGCATGTAACGACTGAGAGCCGTCAACAAGGACGGCTCCGGTTTCCCTGATGGTTTGTTTTGGATCAGTTCTGTAAGTGAACATTGTTCAACTCCTAAGATCTGATCACTAGTATTTATCACAATGCTGAATCTTGATTTCCAAACTTCAATAGAATCATCTTTGACTTTTCTACCTGAAACTTTGCAAAGTTTTTTAGAATAATCTTTGCTGTCCCTTTTTTGCAGGTTCTCTGACTGGCAAGTAAATTTGAACTTATTATCCAAAATAAGATATTTGCAGTTTCTACTGTCTGACCTTATATTACTGTTTGAGTCGTGTATGGAGCTTCAGATCAATGTCCTTTGTTGTCTGTAGACGTAATAAAAGCAAAGCTTAATATTAACGTATTATTGTTAATGTATTCACATTATTTGCATTTTTCTGATTTTGACAGACAACATTAGTTAATGAGCATGAAGTCGCATCTTTGTTAATGTCTTTGTTTTATTAAAACTCATTTAATAAAACAAAGTAGATTTGAATGATGAACGTGCTGCAGTTCCTGTCCAGCAGGTGGCGGTAGAGACGCAGCAGGAACCGTTTTATTTTCATGGAGTCCAGAATAACTGAGTTATGGATCCAAGTTCTTCTCATGATCCCAGTTGTGCTGCTGGTTCATCTTACAAACCAGTTTAACGGAACCAAAAACATGTTTACTAACATGATCGGGTCCAGTTTTCAAAGAGAACTGCTTCTCAGGCGAGAACGTTCTCTCTGGCCACCGGACACTCCAGTTCAGAGCCGGAGACCCGGAGACCCGGAGACCCGGAGACCCGGGCAGTGACGTGCAGCGGCCAGCAGGGGCAGCAGCCAGCAGGGGGCAGCAGCCAGCAGGGGGCAATAGCCAGCGGGGGGCAGCAGCCAGCGGGGGCAACGGGTGGCAGGGGGCAGCAGCCAGCAGGGGCAGCAGCCAGCAGGGGGCAGCAGGGGGCAGCAGCCAGCAGGGGGCAGCAGCCAGCAGGGGGCAGCAGGGGGCAGAGCAGCCCAGCGGGGGGGGGCAGCAGCCAGCAGGGGGCAGCAGGGGCAGCAGCCAGCGGGGGGGGGCAGCAGCCAGCAGGGGGCAGCAGCCACAGGGGGCAGCGGGTGGCAGGGCAGCAGCAGCCAGCAGGGGCAGCGGGTGGCAGCAGCCAGCAGGGGGCAGCAGCCAGCAGGGGGGCAGCGGGTGGCAGCAGCCAGCAGGGGGTAGCAGCCAGCAGGGGGCAGCAGCCAGCAGGGGGGTAGCAGCCAGCGGGTGGCAGCAGCCAGCAGGGGTAGCAGCCAGCAGGGGGCAAACAGCCAGCGGGTGGCAGCAGCAGCAGGGGGCAGCAGCCAGCAGGGGCAGCGGGTGGCAGCAGCCAGCAGGTGGCAGCAGCCAGCAGGGGGCAGCGGGTGGCAGGGGGCAGCGGGTGGCAGGGGGCAGCATCCAGCAGGGGGCAGAAGCCGCTCCGGTTCAGCTTCACAAACACCGGAAAGTTCACCAGAACTCTGATTGATCCGGAACATCTGACCCGGTATGACGTCATGACACCAGGACCCGGCCAATACCGACGTAACAGATTGTGACAGAGCTGTCATCAAACCAGATAAAACATGAAACACGGACCGTAAACAGCCTGCCAGAACCGGGCCGAACCGGAGGGAACGGTTCTGATCAATTTTATGGAGATGATAAGGGGCTCCAGCGGTTCCAGGTCCAAATGAAACCGCAGCAGAACATCAAAGTTCGGACAAATAGTCAACAAATGATGAAATAAATAAATGTTAAAAGTTTCCTGATTTTAACCGGAAGAAACAAAATGATTAAAAACCTGGACCCCCCCCCCGCCCCCCTCTCTCTCTCTCTCTCTCTCTCGGTGTCTCTCGACCCCGTGACGTCACCAGCTCGTCGGTACACCCTCTCGGCGTCTCGCGCTTTCCGTCCGTCTGTCTCGAGCGCAGAAAAACAAGCCGGAGGATCAAAGAGCCGAACTCACCTGTCTGAACGTTCACCTGGCCGCGCGCCGCAGTCCCTCCGCGTGCGCGTGAGGCGCGTTGGAGCGCGAGGGAAGTCCAGAACCCCTGAGGAAGAGGAGGAGGAGGAAGAGGAGGAGGCTCGGAGTTCTCCGGAGTTTTCCCGGATCATGGAGCGGACTGGAAGTTTCCCGCTGCCCGCGGTTCTCCTCCTGGTTCTGCTGGGAGTTCGGGGAGCGCGAGCGGACACCTTCCGAGGTAAGAGGACTGGTCGGTTCGGTTCGGTTCGGTTCGGTGCCTAGGGGGTTTAGCTCT